TCAACATCGACGTGACAGCGGCGAAGCGAGGCGACGGATAGATCGGGGAGGAAGAGGGTGATTTGCGATATGGCGAGTTGACTCATGAGTTGACTCACTGAGCTGACTCGCGAATTGACTCAGTCACTGAGTCAACTCGGTCACTAAGTCAACTCGGTCAATTTTTTTTTTTAAAATGATTCGGTGACTCGGTGGCTTGACGACTCGGGGATTCAGTGATTCGATGACTCTAGGACTTCGTGACTTGACGACTTCGCGACTCAGCCATTCATTGATTCAGCGACTCGGCGACTCAGTGGCTTGACGACTCGGCGATTCGATGATTCGGTAACTTAGTGACTTAATGACTCAAAGACTCAATGGCTCGGTAACAAGGCTGGCTTTGCGGAGCAGAACTGACTTAGATCGTTGCTCTTTGGTGCAACGGAGAGGCGAATTGAACAGAATGGTTTTCGATTCCATGGACTCGTAGCTTGACCGTCCGCACGATAAGGACGACAATGAGACTACTTCAGATTTAGATGGAGAGATGGTCAGTGATCCTCTGCTTCTTGGAAGGATGATGGTTCTTTCTCCAGAGTCTGACACTGGCAGTTCGACGAGACCAGCTTCCTCCAATGCTCTAGTCACGGTTGATGAGGTCAGCGATGATTGGTCGAGACGAAGCTTGATAGATGTGACGACGAGGCAAAGTTTGATCGATGCGATGACGAGGTGAAGTTTGATCGATGCAACGACGAGGTAAAGCTTAATGGACACGACGACGAGGCAAAACTTGATCGATGCGACGGTAAAGCAAAGCTTGATCGATGCAACGACGAAGCGAAGTCAGTGAAGGTGACGCGATGGCAAAGCAAAGCTTGATCGATGCAACGACGAAGCGAAGTCAGTGAAAGTGATGGAACGGCACGACGAATGGACGACGCGATGAGGCAAAAATGCGACGAGGTGACGACGAGGCATTGTTGTGACGAGATCATTTTGATATCAAGGTGATCTTGCTGATTTGCCGTTGATGTGGATTTGATCGTGGCGAAAAAAATGGTTTCTGACTCTTTGAATTCTTGTTTATGCCGTCAACATGACGTGGATGGTTTTGAAATTATACTTGGATGATATTGGAAACGATGTCTGTCTAGTGTTTTGTCCAAGAGGTGTTACGCGATTGATGGGACGTTTACATAATTAGAGTCCAAGAGGAAGCGTCTTCAGAAGGAAGTTGCTAAACTTGCCAGCCGCCTAGACGTTGCTGCTAAACTTTAGGATGCAGCTTTGTAGCAAACTGTTGATGAAGTGAAGCGTGAACTGACGGCGAAGTACAAGGCGAAGGTTAATTGCAGAACTTAAGAAACAAGAGGCGGGTCTGTCATTGGCAGACAAGATGTTTGCTAAGCATGTGCAGGAGCTGGAAGAAATCCTTAAAGACTCGCCCGTTAGAGTGACTGATGATGGGGTTGAAGAGTTAGATGCTCCTACTGTTGAAGAGGTGGCTGATTCGGATTCGAGTTCATCTGATTCGTCGAGTGGTAACGAGTTGTCTAGCACTGCAACTGTGGTTCGTCAAGAGCAAGCTGCCGAAGTTGTCGATGGCGTTGAGGAGATCGCGTCTTAGTTCTGGATTTTGTTTCAGCATTTTGTCGCGCTTTTGACTTTTGTTTTGGTATTGGTTTCTGCTGGGATTGTGTTTATCCTTTCTTTTGGATTTATCATTGTTTTTTAGATGGAGTTTATGAAAACAGCTTTTATGATTCTTATTCTTGTCTTTCGGATGGACCATTTTGTTGCTAAATCTTTAGTCCGTGACGCTGATGGGCCTGGCTACTCATTGATAAGCCAAATGACTTGTTTATATTTACTGTCTTTGATGCAAGTATGGTTTATCGGCGAGTCTGTCTCGATGCAGCCGCTCCAAGAACGATCGTGTTATTGCGTAATGACCAATGATTAAGTTGTTGGGTTTCGACCAGCCAGATGCGTGCTGGGTTTTTGAGATAAACATTATGGTTTACGAATATGTTTCCGTGAACAAGTCCGCTCCAGCAATGAACACAAGATTTTGACCAGTTGGATGTGTGCTGGGTTTCTGAGTTAAACATTCTGGTTTACGATATGTTCCCGTGAACAAGTCCGCTCCAGCAATGAATACTAAATGTTGACCAGCTTGATGTGTGCTGGGTTTCTGAGTTGAACATTCAGGTTTACGGATATGTTCCCGTGAACAAGTTCGGTCCAGCAATGAACATTAAGGTTTACGGATATATAGCGCGCTTTAATCCGCTGGGAATGTAGAGTTTATTATTGTGACCAACAACAATGGTGTGATGAAGAGAGGTCTGTTTTGGAAAAGACTTTGAATGAATTTGCAAGTAAAAACTTGGCTTTTGATAGTTGATTTTGTCAAGTTTGCAAGTGAATACTTGGTATTTTTTTTGTTTAGGTTTGCAAGTAAACACTTGGCTTTTGATAAGTTTGCAAGTAAATACTTGGCTTTTGATTAATTCAAAACAGCAAACCGTGT